CGGTGCACAAGGTCAGGTCAAGCTTGGACATTGACAATACATGCTTCACAAGCCTCCCACGAGGGCGACGTCAGTGAGGAGGAACCGACCGCGTCTTACAAATCATCCATCGCATCATCTTCAGCAGCTTCGAGCACCCGTAAAAAAGGCACCTGACCTAGTTGATAGGGTATCAGTTGTCTGAGTGCTTCGCGCTGAGTGCTGAAGTATTTCCCGGGGTTTGCCGCTCGGAAGCTTGTGGGGCTGGTCTCTGATGTCGTCGGACACGCTTCAGCGAAGCGACGAAACTCGTCCACAATGTCGTCCTCACGCACGGCAAAGTTTGCTATAAAATACTTGTCTCGGTTGATGATGGGCCGGGCGTTCCGGGTGATCTTTGACCACCCACCAGCACTGTCGATAGCTTTCTGATTAAGCTTGCGGCGTTCGTCGTCCTCGGCGATGACCTCTGATGGCACCACATAGCGGTGGAGATTGAGGCCCTCGAATCCTTGAGGATAAGGGCTAAGAATGTAAAGCGACGGGCTCAGACCATGGGTGGCATGTAAGAACTGTGCTGCGCGACGGAGATCGCCAATGCCGACTTGTTCGATACTCCTGGCCTGGGCAAAGTTCAGAAAGAGCAACCGCGCATGTGGTGGAATGTCGCAGATGAGGCTGGGAGGTTGCTGTCCTTCCCATCGGCCAGGCACGAACACATGGGTGCCAGATGGGTGATAGCCGAGGTCGTAGACTGCTCCGTATTTCCTGCTACTGTTTAGAGAGTGTACAGTGTCCCCTTTGTCATTACTCACTTTCTCGCACACAAGGCCCCTAACCACGCTGTCTGGGCAGCCTCATATAGTTTGCGTGACCATCGACGTCCAGTCCCCACTAGCGGCCTCGCAGGATTTAGTGTGGCTGTTTCTGGATCCTCCTCCTTGACCAATGGCGGCTCGACATTCATTCCAGAGACGAAGGGTCTCCGTTTCGAAGAACTCAGAAGACCCTGCCTCCTACGCTGGTCCAACAGTCTCTCCATGTCACGCACCGTCTGTTCTGTTGCTCCCTGGCTCCATCTGACCCTGAATTGGGCGACTTGCTCCCCCAAGAGACGCAGGCGCTGCTGTTTCTTCGCGTAGAACCATGAGTCAGGAATATCATCTTGGGGAATGAAGATCGCCGAATCGCCGTCGATAGATACACTGAGCAACCAGTCCCAGCATGTGAACGGAGAGAAGATGGGTTGTAACTCGGCTTTTTCATGATCACCCCTGAAGGCCTCGTGACAGGCAGTCCCGGACCTTCGAAGCATTGTCAGGTGCCCTCGTTTCAGCTCAACTGCAATGCACTGGCGAGGGGTGCCAAGATAAACGATCTTGAAATCACCTACGTAGGGTCGTAAGGTGAATTCCTCGAATCGGTATGACTTCGAACATGTATTCAAAGCCTGCTGCAGGTCTTTGAGTGCATCGAAATCAGACAAAAGGGACTGCTGTAATAGGGCTGAGGTACTGCATGTAGAGGGCTGCGGACAGTCGTCGTAGGTAATCCTGTTGTATGGGTTGTACCTGTTGATGGAGTTAGTGCTTGTTGTTCTTCTGCAATGGTCTCTCATGTCTCACATACCAGGTATTGTCTGCGTCATTGTGGTATGTCAGTAGAGAGTGTATCGCCTCTGGGAGCATGAATAGTGGCATTGCGAAGGGCGCCCAGGGCATCGGAAAATTCTCGGTGGGTCGATCTGATAATGGCATCTCTGGGAAATAGACATCGAACTTCCCGGCGACGGCTTTTCCTTTGCCTTTCCACTGCTGGATATAGAACGCGGGCACAAGTGCAACCCACTGTGGAGCCGAAGGATTCTGGACGACGAAGGCAGCGCATTGGTTTTGCCCCTCTCTCACACAAAGTGCATAGTAGTAGAAACTGCCCCTGTATGGCGGTGTTGGTTGAGGTTGAATGGTCTTGATGTCCAGACCAAGAAGCATCACGTTTGTGGCATCAGGTTTGGTCACAGCAATCAATTTCTCCAAAGGTGCCTTTGTTAGGATCGGTGCCGCACTGTCGCAGAGGATAAGCCCGCCGTCGATGGGAGCACCTTCTCCTGCTCTGACATATTCTTGTATAGTCTCGTTCAAGACCCACGAACATCTCGCCTCCCACAGGAACGGCACTGAGTACCCTTTGAGCCGTCGTCTATACTTGAGGCGAAGACGAGTAAGCAAATCCGTTGTTGTTGACATTATGCTTTGTTTGGCACGCAGAGTTTTTTCTCGGCTTTGTATATAGGTAGGCTTGAATGTAGTGCAAAACAAGTTTGATCCATACACAATAAATGTTTCCAGAAATAAAGGGAACCCCTTTTTCAAGCGATAGCCAGTGTAGAAGTCGTCGATATAGGAATCAAACAAAGGATAAGAATCTGGATAATAGGGTGGTCTGTCTGAGGTACGTTGTGCTCCAGGGAAGAAAACTGTAGTAGCAGTCCAGTAAGAGAATATCTTAGCAGGCTGCGCCTAGAGACTTCGCGAAGATGGTGCAAACTCAACCCCTAATTGAGGACATCACTCCCAGAGAGCCATGGTGTCACGAAGCGGCAGATGGCAAATTGACTCTCAAAAAGGCCTATTCGAGACTCAAACACGGAACTGGAGCCTGTGTGTTGTCTGTGACAGCTGTGGCTGCCCTTGCATTGACGGATCTCTGCTGCGACAGGGGACGTGGAATGGTAGGAGTCCTGCCTCTGCCTCGACCAGGAGGATCAATGTCTCTGACTAACCGTCTCTTTTAGGTGTATACGGTCATCAAATGCAAAGAGAGTACGTCACTACCGGATCTGTTGTATGTGTCGGAGGCGTGGACCAGAGCACAACAAGATGAATGGAAGGCTATGAAGCCGGTGCTTCGACTTGACCGCATCGCCAGCAGCCACGGATGGATTCAAGATGACGTGTTGGTGTTACCATTCTACCTCAGAGAGGACCGATACGTGTCACCTGGTGTTACCTTCCTCAACGGCCAACTCCCCTACCTGATTAGATCTCCACATGATCATAGCCTCCTCTCTCAATCTCAAGTCGACAGGGATCAGGATCATCGATCTCCACAACGCAAACAAAATATCGGTGACAAAACCCGTGAGGTCATAACCGAACGTGTCAACGGACTGAAAGGTGTCTTAGACGGTCTTGAGTCGATGTATGAGAGTGAGAACCAGCCTTTTCTGACCAAATCCAAGCTCTTCAATGCTTGGGTAGATCAGGTCGTCAACAAAGAGTGAATCGATGGGGAGGGAAGATGAGCTCTTAGGATAAAAGTCAGGGAGAAACAGCTTGCATTGCCGGAAGGGCAAGCGCGATTTAGCGTTGGTACCCTAGTGGGACGGAACGGTGCTTGTCGATGGGGAAAGACGGCCATCACGGAGGGATCGATAGTTGGGTCTTTTCCCATGCTTTTGTCAGGCTATCAAATCTCAGAAACATCTCAAAGTTTCTGGCGAGCACTGTTGACAGCGTCAAACACTTTTCGTAGGTGTTCATTCCCGATAGTGCCTTACAACTTACCATTTTTTTTTAAAGCACACTGGAGACAATGACCGACTACAGCGCAATGGCATCCAATCAAGCGCCACACAAGGTATCAAAAGCCAGCAATGAGACCCCCGTTGATAGCATGGTCTTCGATCATGCTCGTGTTGACCCTTCGAGATACAACAATTTGATGGAGGCAAAGGACGTCAAAGCTTTCACCGATATGGTCGAAGACTATATGCTTTATGTGAAAGAAGATGCTTGTCAGCGCCAGGGCTGGGATGAAGAGAGAGAGAAGGCAGTAGCTGTTGTATTTGTGTCGATGATCAACAACGAAAAAGGGTGGACACTGGCAAGCAATGTAGTACCAGAGTTCCAACGCCCAATGTCCGGACACCCACGGATTCTATGGAAAGAAGCTAACGAACCCTAGATTTGAAACGACAAACCTTGCTGATCCGCTGCGATACATCCTTGATGCCGTCAAAACTCGCTTACCCCTACGGGCAACCTATTTCAAGATTCGACCGAGCATGGATCAGAGGTGGGAAGAGAATCTAGCCTGGCGTTGTGAGAAGAGGTTCGTGGAGTATATAGCCTGGCAAGCAGGCCAAGCCAGCCAGACGAGCAGTGGTCGGATGGCGGAGATCGAACAAGTTCTGGAAACATTACAACCTGTCGTGAAGGCAAATGCAGAGTCAACAAGCGAGCGAGGCTCGGCATCACACACCATTAGGTCAAGATACTCCATTCATGCACGGAGGGCCATCCCGGCGTTGTTGCTCTTGATATTCATGTCAATCCTGCCAGTGGTGTATATGAGTATAGTGCAGGAAGGCGAACAGGGCAATGATGAGCAGGAGGAAGATCAACAGGATGAAGAAGAAGAAGAACAGAAGGAAGCTGAGCACGACGAAGAAGAAGGAGAACAGGGCGGAGATGAAGAGGAGGATGTCGAGGACGAAAATGGAGAGGAGGAAGACGAAGAGGAGGAAGATGAAGACGAAGACGAAGACGAAGAGGACGAAGAGGACGAAGAGGACGAAGAGGACGAAGAGGACGAAGAGGACGAAGAGGACGAAGATGAAGACGAAGATGAAGACGAAGACGAAGACGATGAAGATGAAGATGAAGATGAACAGGAGGAAGACAACGAATACGAAGATGAACAGGAGGAAGACGATGAGTAAGAGTCGCAGGTCAATTTGGCAAGTCAGGTTTTCTTCAGGAGAAATCAAAAAAGCTTTATATACAGCTCCAATTCCATTGCGGCTGAAGATACCGCGTGCAGGTACGGTATTACTGTCAATTCATCAGTAATGATGTGCGGATATTGTGGATACCCTCGCTATTCAGTACGATCGTGTGAAAATATGTCGCTGACCGTCATAAGCACGTGAAAAATAGAGAAAGGTCAATAATTAAACACGCTAAAAAAATTTCACAATTCGTCTGTCGACATTGGTACGATCTTACGAATGGTCGCGGGGCCGCGTGGCCTAATGGTTAAGGGTAAGCTATTCTCTATGCCTGGAACTCATGTACTTTGGCTAATTAAACATTAGCGTTGGTTTTCGGATTTGGCAATTGTTGTCGATGTGAAAAACACCAAAGATTGGGAGTTCGAATCTTCCCGCGGTCGTTTTCTTTTTGCTCGTCTTCTGGACTGTTGGCTACAAGAGCTGGCGGAAAACGTCCAACATGGGGACACAACCAAGTTTTTTGGAGGGCAGTCAGATCGAATCGGAGAAGAGATCGACACGCCCATGCTACGCTGCAAGGGCTCGGGCTAACATCAATACTGAACAATCCAGAGCCTTTATGTTATATCTCACTAACGATAACAAGATGAACCGTCTTGATATACGAGGTTTTGCTGGATGCAGCGGAGAACCGCTGCACACAGCACAGCCGGTCTACACGACGTTTCATCCACAGCAAGGCATGGAAGTGGCTACAAGCGTGAACGGAGCACATCAGTGTGCTTGTATTGCCTGCGGCTGAGCAGGAACAGAACTAGCAGTGGTTTGTGACGATGCAGCCTCCTTTGCAGCAAATTTGGCCGCTTCCTCAGCCTGGTCCTCCCGGATCTTCTTCAGCTGTTCGGGATACTATTACGACAAGTTAGCGGCAAATCAACCAAAGGGGTAGGGTATGCAAGACTTACCCATCGCTCACCAACATCAGGATGACTCTTGATTCGGTTCATGAGCGTAGCCTCGCCCAGCCTGCTCCACGCGCCCTTGATGAACGTGAACTCGATATCATCGAGCCTGACACCGCCCCTCCGCTCTAGGATATCCGACCTCAACTTCTTGACCGAGGCTGGGACATCCATGCTCTCGAACGTGGCGTCGTAACTGACGCCCTGGAAGAACGGTATACTAAACCGCGCGCCAGTGCCCCGGGCCGGACTCTGCACTCTGTGCGTGGTCGACTGGCAGACACCCTGCGTGAGAGCCTCCATTCCTTGGCCGATAGCCACGACGAAAGTCCCATCGATGGGCGGACAATCGACCCACTGACCCTCCGCGTTCTGAACCTGCAAACCGCGATGGTGGCTTGCTTGCAGAAGATAACTCGTCAACATACTGTCCTTGTGCGGACCCACGCCTTGGGCCTCGCCCTCGACACCCAACTCCTCGAGGTCCGGATACTTGACGATCTTGAGTTTATGTTGTTGCGCTTCGTCGAAGAACTGGGCGAACGCGTCCGACGGTAAGCCGATCGCTTCGGCGATTAGACTGGTGAATTCCATACTCATATCGCCCATGCGAGCCATGTACTCTTCGTAGACTTCCCGGAATCGCGGTAGAGCGTTTGGATCAGGCCACAGGTTTGGCGCGAGTAGATTCCTATATAATGGGTCGTTAGGGCCGGGAATGGGATGTGGTGTCGATAGATCGATTTGTTCGCGCCAGTCGGTTTTGAAGCGCGTGATTTCCATGCCTAGTTTGTTGTAGCCGAGGAATGATTTGGCGTTTTTCATTTCGACTTCGAGTTTCTTCTCTTCGGGGAGGTCGAAGAAGGCTTTGCCTAGACGGATGACTTCGGCGACGAGATCGGGTGGGATGCCTGTGTTTTCGATATATAAGAAACCGACTTCTAGGAGGGCATGGCGGAGATCGGCTAGAAGTTGGGGTTTGGTTTCAGGGGAGCGAGCTAGTGAGAGATCTAGGATTGGGATGCTGGAGAAAGACATCGTGGACTCTGGGTAGTACAGTGTGTCCTTAGGTGTAATCGATGATGGGATATATCTATCTGGTAGGGGGGAGATGAGATTATAGAAAGTGAGAGTTGTTTAGTCCCCCACGATGCTTGGGCGATGGCGCAATATGCCGAGGCCGGAGAAGGTTGTCAGCCGGTGCATACGAGATACCTGACAGGGTTGTGGCCTGACACTTCTTGACGCAAGGCTACTCTCATAATTTATACTCACTCACCCTGGTAGTATATTTGCTCCGATGTGCTGCTGGCGAGTGGTCACAAGCGAGGCTCATATAGAAGGATAGTGTTGTAGATAAATGCTGGATGATACTGTAGATTGAGTTGCTTATTACTCCGCCTGCTTACGGGAAGGCTCACGACACGTCCTGAAATCCAACTAGAACTCACACACTCAATCCAAGAGAATCAACTTGCCGTCATTGTTGCTCACACGCTCATCCAACCTAATAGAAGTCCTGTTCCAGCGGCCATCGCCTGTCCCCAACTCTGCTTCCAACACCTTCCCATCCTCGCAGAGCCTCACATCCCGTGAGCTGGCACCGAAATTTCCACCCCTGGCCCAGATAAAATGACCGTGCTCGTTCGCCAAACAGTTGTTCAGGGAGATAGATGATAGCTTATGGTTCCCATGGACGTCGGCGCACGAAGCGATCAGGTCATAGTCTCTGTCCAAAGTGATGCTGTGAGAGGAAGAAGTGAAGTTTCCCCGCAACTGAACGTATTGTTGTCCTTGATGCTGTTGTTGCGGTTGCTGTTGATGGTGCGGCGGATATTGATGCATTCCGTATGCACCGGCACCAACAGCTGCAGCAGGCGCAACCCATCCGTGCTTCTTCTTTTTCTTCTCTTCGTCCGAGGAACTACTGCTGGATGAAGAGTGTCGACGAAGAGGATTCTTCTCCTTTTTGTGTTTCTTGTAGGCATCTTCAGCCATGGAGCCGGTGATTGCGCCTCCGATGGTGCCGAGGAACCCGTGGTGGACTTTGTGGCCGCCGTATGCTCCTAAGGCGCCACCAGCAACAGCACCCATAAAACCTCGGTCTTGAGCCTGAGGGTCGTTGGGGTCTAGAGGAGCACCTGGGGCGGGCTGTGCAGGGTAGGTGGTCGTCTGGTTGTGAGTAGGTGGCGGTCCTGGTGGTGCAGCGAAACTGTCCCATTGTAATTGAGGAGGTGGCGCGTATGCCTGCGGATTAGATTGGTCGTTGTAACCATATGATTGGGATCGGTATGAGTATTCCGATTGCTGAAAGGCATACCGCTGATCTGGGGAAGGAGAAGAGTACTGATTCGCCGACTGAGTGTCTGAGCCTGGGTAGGCTGGAGATTGGTAGTCCCGGCCATCATCATATGGACGATTCTGGTCGTAATTTGAACTGTAAGGTTGCTCGCCGTAGCTCTGAGCTGGCCCAGAAGGAGGTTGCCATTGTTGTTCCTGATTACCTCCATAGCCCCAGTTTTGGCTTGGGCGTTGGGTGTTCCAGTATTCCTCGTTCGACATCTTGTTTAGCCTGTGCGAGGTCTGTTGCGCGAGCACTGATGTCCAGATAGGTGTTTCTACCAGACGTCATTCAACGTACCGGGACTTACTGTCTTATATGAAGACGGAAGGGTGGTAGTGAACGCTAGGCATCCTCCATTCAGGCTCACCACCCTAGCGTTGGATGTGGAAAGGGCTGTGGCTGAGAATCGGAACACAGCCACCAAAGATTCAATTCATAGATGTGATAGGAAGACAACCTCATAGAACAGCCACGTTCTGTCTCCCTATGAGAGATGAAAGCCGGCTGGTATGGAGTAGGCGATGCATCTAGCCTATCCAGGCACGGGTGCTCAGGTTGACAAGGTCATATGCAAGCTCTTTATGATGCAACTCATGGAGCTTCGAACCAATGAATGTTGGAACATTTACGACGAACAACTTACCACGCAGATAGACTCACGGCAAGTCTCCGTTAAGAAGGCTCCTTGACACGACACCTGTGGAGTGACGATAATGCGCGAGGATAGATTGAGAATATTGACTGGAATCGGAAAGATACTGTTTGAGGAAAAAGAGAGAGTTGAGCCAGCAGTCTTAAGGAGTTTAGGTGCACCGGACTTCTCAACTGACCCCCAACCGAGCACGCCTAAGCTCGGAAATAAGTCGTCATTTGGGTGTCAATCTTCATCTTCTCCGCACTTGATTCCGAGCACATCATGTTGCGGAGTCGGGACTCTGCTAACAAATCCTCCTAACGGTATCGCTCTTTAACCCGTCGACTGCCCTTCTCGTCGAGGTTGAGTACAGCCATGTCCGGCTCTTCGTAGCCTCAGCTTGTAAATTGGCCAAGATGAAGCAGACTCTGCGGCTCCGCCGCTCAGCCGCTTCCCTTGTGCGGTCCATTGAGCACACGAAACCATCGCAGTCACCTATTCTACGAGCCGTCTCGGCAAGAACGTTTCACAGCACCGGGTCCAGGTACGAAGACAAGAGCAAAGAAGAACCGAAAGGAAGCGCATCCTTCAGAGGTCAGCTCTATGAGAGCACATCGGATCGATTGAAGAGGGAAAGAGACTCCGAAGCCCGATACATCCAAGCCCAACGACAGCGCAAAGCAGAACCAAGGACTTTGGCTCTGAGTGTTGGTACGTACGTCGCTGGCATCGTACCTACCCTCGCTGACAGTTCGCAGTCATCCTATCCGTGGCAGGTGCGGCGTACTGGCTGGGAACCAGAGGCGAGAAAGCTTTGGACCTTACCTCTACCACTCCTCTAGCACGCGCGCATCCTCCTCAACTCGACACACGTACCTCCGTTCTCCAGGCAGCCTGGGTAGATTTCGCTCAGATAGTGGGAAAAGACAATGTTTCTACAATACCGGACGACCTTGAAGCGCATTCCGGCTCAGAATGGTCCTCTTACACAACAAAGTCCGGAGAGAGGCCTTTCGCTATCGTTTACCCTGCCACAACCGAGGAGGTGTCCAAGATCATGCAAGTATGCCACCAAAGGAAAATCCCGGTAACGGCACTCTCTGGCGGAACTAGTCTGGAGGGTCATTTCGCGCCGACACGGGGAGGTATATGCATAGATATGGGGAGAATGGACAAAATATTGGACTTCCACCCGCAAGATTTGGATATTATAGTTCAACCTGCTTTGGGCTGGGAAGATCTGAATGAATACTTGCACGAGTCTGGCATGTTCTTCCCACCCGATCCAGGTCCAGGTGCAAAGATCGGAGGTATGGTCGGCACAGGATGCTCCGGCACAAATGCCTACCGATATGGCACTATGCGCGAGTGGGTGATTTCGCTGACCGTTGTACTCGCCGATGGTACAATCATCAAGACAAGACGGAGACCACGAAAGTCCAGCGCTGGTTACAACCTAACCCAAATGTTCATCGGTAGCGAAGGCACATTAGGTGTCGT